ATTTTAATTCTGTACATTTAAACTAATATACTTACTTATATTATTCTTGCATTTCTTTTACACACTTACTCATAGATGCGATTTTCAGCATTATTATTTGCTCTGTTATATATTGTAGTATATACTGTATATATATACTGTACATACATATATACATTATATATACACCTGAGCAGTTTCATATGGGAACTACTGTATGTTTGAAAGAAAACATTCCTGCATAAAACTGCTCACAACAAGGTCTGTGGATTATCTTGAGTAACCGGGTCATGGTTTCTGGAGAGAGACAATGCTGTTGTGTTTTTCATATGTATTTTTTTTGGCCCTTCAAGCACCACAACCAGAGTGCCATATAGTCCCATTATATTAGAATGCAGACCCACCAGCCCTCATCATCATGTGTGACTCCCTGCTCGCTGCTGTGGGCTCCACCATAACCCAGGACCTCAAGTGGGAGCTGAACATCAGCTCCATCACTAAGAAGGCTCAGCAGAGGATGTACTTCCTGAGGCAGCTGAAGAAGTTCAACCTGCCGAAAACAATGATGGTGCACTTCCACACAGCCATCGTTGAGTCCATCCTCTGCTCCTCCATCACGGTCTGGACGCTACAGCACTACAGACAGACTGCAGCTCATCATTCGCTCTGCCGAGAAGGTGGTTGGCTGCAATCTGCGGTCCCACCATGACTTGTTCTCCTCCAGGACTCTGAGGCGGGCAACAAAGATTGTAGCCGACCCCTCTCACCCCGGACACAAACTGTTAGAGTCCCTTCTCTGGCAGGCGGCTGCGGTCCATCAGGAACAAGACCTCACAAAAAGTTTCTTCCCTTCTGCAGTTGGGCTCATTAACAAAGCTCGGGACCCCCACTGACTCTGACATCCTCAGGACAATCGCTGCACAACTCTACTCTTTAAATACACACCTGTCACTTTAATATAATACTTGTCTTAACATACTTTTTGTCATGCAAGCCTAATTCCTTGTATGTGTAACGTACTTGGCAATAGACTGTTTTTGATGAGAGAGAAGGCAGACATCTCTACGGCAGATAGCTTCAACACTTAGCAACTCAAAATACAGCTAAGAGTAAAGAATAATTACTTTTGATTCTGGGATGAACTGTTTCTTTAGGGCACTTCTGCACTTTTCACATACCTGCAAACTCATGAGGGGTGAAAAGGGTGACCAGCCCGAAACCCTGTTGGCGGGGGGGGGGGGGGGTGCGCTCCAGAAATGTTATTTTAAATATGAGCTTTACAATGTAGCATTCTGGTGTACTCTGAGAAGAAAATGAAGTGATAAGACATTTACTTAAAACAAATTTATTATTCAGTTATTATTCACTATTCTATTTCCAGCTCTATTATTATTAACCTTTATTTAGACACAATCCATAGAGACCGAGGTCTCACTTTCAAAAGTTTTGCTCAAATAAAAACAAAGATAGCATGAGTAGCGAGAACCATCGCCTGTACAAATAAAGTGATTCGTTTTCATTAATATTAACTTCCACTGTTACTGTAAATCTGTTAGAATTGTGGCCCATCTTCTATTTGCAATTAATATGCATTCAATCCGTTTTTTCCTTCTAAATCGCGATAATGACAAACATTAACAGTCGACAAAGTTCCGCATGCAGTGGACGTTAACTTAACCCAGCAAGTCTGAACGGCAACGGAACATAACGTAACTTAAACTGTAACGGAGGGAAATGAAGACGCTGTACACATCTGAACGCTGATTGGCCAAGACTCGTCACATCAAAGATGTTCTATTGCGAAGATCACATCACCTTTTCTCCTCATCTCACTCCAATCTGAGAAACGCTGGCTGGCCAGTTGACCCCCACCCCCGAAAAAAAAACTCTACTGATCTACACGATTCACGTGGATGATATATTTTCATTCAAAACGGCGAATTTCGCCGAAAAGCGAGAAGTTTGCAGGTATGTTTTCAGAAGCGCAGGTTGCCGCGTCCATTTCTTCCGCACGCCGGGATACTCGCCCGCATTCCACTGTGGGCTCTAGGAGGGAGTTTTGACTAGCCTCTGTAGTACCCAACCTGGAAGGAACCCATCCTACCAAGGAAGCATCCTAGGCTTTAAGAAACGCAGGGCTCATTCGCAAAGCCATAAAAAACAAAACAAAAAAGTCCGGTCTTTTTCTAACCCCTTTTCTTTGACGTCGATGAAAAACGTCATGAGGTCGAGGACAGATGTGAAGGAGGATCTACAGAGCTGTGCTAAGAGAATCACACTGCACTTGCAAGACGGCAGATGGGATTTTATTTTTAGCAATTTTATTTATAACATAGAAGATGAGAAGGCCACAGTGACAAACTCCATGCCACCCCAGTTGATGAGGGTCCAAATGAAAAGCTGTTAGATTCCCACTGTGCTGCTTCAGCTTTTAAATAAAATAAACTGTGGAATGAAACTAAAAGCTAGTGCTGGCTAACTTCTTTTTGTATCACATGACAGTGGCTGTACAGCTACAAGAACAACAAGACCAAATAAAAGAAGAGTCACATGTATCAGGACTGAACAACATTTTATTCTGAACTTTTCCAGAACTTCTGCACAATACCGACATTTTCTCAGACCTGGAAACGATCACTTCTGTCAGTAATCCAGGCTTTTTATAGAGCCACAGAAGAACCCGCTGTAAGCACAAACACAACACAGGGATACCATCGCTTCACTTCCACGCCGGGGAACATTTGATGCAATGGAGGTTTTGGCAATCACATGTACTCTGCTGGGAGACGAGACGAGAGTATAGAACCATTCTCGAACAATAAAACAAATAAAAAGGAATGCCCTACTTTAGTAATCCCATTCCAACGTAAAACCTCTGCCAGGCGGACCGGGGGTTTGGACAGGACAGCAGAAGCGAAGCGCTCCTCTCTTCATCCACATGGCTGTGGAGAGCTAAACACTGGAGGACAGCGGACGGCAGGAAGCAAACACGACAACGAAAGACAATATCTGTCCGACCCCTTGTTGAAAAGATTGTTTGAAAAAAGTGTACGAGAATGGTGTCATGTGTTATTTTCATTCCCTTTCTGGCGGAGAGGTTAATGTGAACATTGACAGCACTCATGTATCAGCTAGCTTAGCTTAGCCTGACACGGTCTAAAAGGTGACAATGTCCTTCTACCGGCACCTCTAGTGCTCACTTATTAACACGTCATGTCTTGTTTGTTTAATCAGCGCAACCAACATTTTTAAAAGCGGCCGATGGTTTTATCGGTGGGTTGTGTAGCGTGGCGCATAATCCCAGTAGAATGTCATTTTAAACAGGAGATATAGTGTGTTAGTTAGTGAGCTTCGCAGGTGTTAGTATGTGGATCTGGTCACTTTCAGACGGAGAGAGGCGAGCTGTATCACGATGGACTTGATAAAACCTGTCCTTCTGGAGTGTTTTCTCCGCTCACAGCTCTCTGCTCCCTCTGTGATCACACCGTCAGCGAGTCCGCTCATTGTTACGTCCTCTTGTTGGCGAGTGAAAGCTAGAGGGCTGCAGATGGAAAAGCACGCACCGGAAAACAACAAATGAATATAGAGCGCAAAATAAGTGATGATGTATTTTTGTAGACGGGGAAGTTAGCAATCGCTCTGGTTTCCTCAACAACAAAAAATAAAATCAAATTGATTTTATTATTTATTGCAGAAAAGAAGTGTTGATGATACTTACTCGTTTTGTTCAGCGATATAATCTTCACAAAGGAACACCACTTATGATTTTCAAAGCGTGATTTCAGTCGCCAGAAGTAAAAAGCTAACATTGGGCAATAAAAGGAACTACGCCACGACATCACATGATGCGTCACCACCACTAAGCTAAAGGAGAACTAGTGTTCTCGTATAGATGTTTGTCAGCTTCCACCTGTTTTTAAGACGCAGAACAGATTCAAAAATCACGAGAGGGATATTTATTGATGTATTTCCTATCGTAGAACAAAATGGAAATATCTCAGACCTTATTTCAGGCATCTTAAGATTAAGAAAAGCCCATTGGCTTTGAGAGGAGGGAACAGGAAGTGCAGACTCATGTCTAGGTTGTTGGAGGTCATTCCTGCAGCTCTCTGTAGGTCTACGGATAACCGGAGTATCGGTTTCTTTTGAACAAAATCTCAAAGTATGAAATCAATCGATGTAGAAAGCGATACTAAAGCGGAAGAGGCTTGATTTACCTTCTGTGCATACACGCGTACGAAGCATTAGAATGGAAAGTTACTTTTGCCTCCCTTCCTTCCTCCCCAGAGCCCCGGGGCGGATGTAGCTAAAGCTAGCGGGATGGTCCGGAAACCACCAGAGCCAGCGACCCAATGAACGGCAGGGTTTCCAAATAAACAACGCACCCTCCATGCTGCAGAAATGAAGCATTAGTTTCAGCACAACAATGAGAGAACAGCACAACACAAAGGGGGATAAAGGTGGATGTCAATGAGAGGTGACATTTCTCTCTCACAGCTTCTTTTCTGGTTAACAGGTTTACCGTCGACTCAACAGCACGATTAGAACAGAAAGCGAAGCAGAACTTGTTGTGTAACACACAGGAACTCTGCTGCTGATGTTTTAAGTGGCCTGATGACGGAGTCCTCGACCTCGGCTCTTTGTCCAACTACGCTCTGCTTGTTAAAAGGTCCTTCTTTCCCCAGGATGTGGTCCCAGGACCCGATCCCCATCAGACAGTCTTTCCTAAGTACGGAGTATGTGAAAGAAACTGACTGGGCTCGTGGGTCACGGTGGAGCAAACTCCTCTAGAACGTTGAAATATCTGCATTCAAAGGCTCGAGCCACCAAACGAACCTTTTATCTCAACATCTATCAGGCTGTTTGTTTTCTATCAAACAGGACATCAACATGACAGCTGGTTAGCTACACAAGTAGCGCAAATACGCCGCTCCAGGCCAGATTCACAGAGTCTCTCTCTCTCACTCACTCACTCACTCACACACACACACACACACACACACACACACACACACACACACACACACACACACACACACACACACACACACACACACACACACACACACACACACACACACACACAAAAAAAGAAGGTCCCTTTTTCCTTAAGTTCTTGGCCCGGCTCTGAGTCCAGCACTGTCCGGGGGAGTCAGGGCTGGGAGCTGCCCTGGCTGTCTGGGTCCGTCCCCGTGGAGCTGGTGTCTGAGTCTGAGTCCTCGTCGTTGTGCTCGTCCTCTGCCAGGCTCTTCTCACGTACCCGCCTGTGGGTGGCGCTGAGGCGAGCCAGCAGACCCTGGTAGTCGAAGCGGCCTCGCTTCTCCCCGAACGGGTCCTGGGCAGAAAAAACCCCAGAGAGGTGAGCCGAGTTTGGGCATGCGTGTCCCTCAGAGATAGAGCTTTTAATGGACCATGCATTTGTCCTGATGAGTAGGCTGCAGTAGAGGGTGTAACCGTCCGTCTGCATCCGTTCACATCAGGAAAACCTCTGTATTCATTTTCTGTATTAAGCCGTTTTACACGTACTGAGACTTATCTTTAAATGGATATATTCCTCGACGTTTTAAACTAAAATTGTGTTCACACCACCGTCGTTTTACAAAATATCTCCGTCTACACTAAAACGACTCGCCGTAGGTGGCAATAAAGACAACATCAACGACACCTGAAATACCAGAGAGGGGCGACTCCTCTGGTTGTATAGAAGTCTATGAGAAAATGACTCTACTTCTCTCTTGATTTATTACCTCAGTAAACATTGTAAACATGAATTTATGGTCTGAATCTCTAGTTTCAAGTCTTCTTCAATACAGCATGATGTTCATTTAGTAACTTATGGTCCATTTAGAGTTATTTTGAGATGTTTCTTGTCTACTGTCCAGTCACCGAGGGGCCATCAGGCAAGGAGGTAAGAATAAAGACTTGTGTGGGACAAGTCTGTCAGCTTTATCCTGCTCCCAACAACAACAAATTTATTGACAATGAACCTCGCCGAGCGATTGAGCACGATTCTACCAGCAGACTGTCCACACTACGGGTTCACTGAAGTCTGCTTAATGGGTCAGCCGGGCCGAAACAACCACCAAAACTACTGCGTTTATCACAGCCAGAAGATGTAAAAACTGTCATAATCGTTGGATGTCCTTCAACACATCATGTGTGACGAACGCTTCCATCAGAAAACGCAACCGAAATTAGGCTTAAAATTGTGATATTTTATCAAAAACATTTCATTCTACAGGTTTCATTTAAAATTCCGGCCCAAATTTTACTTTCACCAGATCCTGTGAAAAACATTAAATTCTGAGCTCCTCAGCGCAATTATGAAGCCATGACGGACACAGCATCGACCTGCAGTCTGCTGAAAGAGAGGCGTCATCAGCACAATGTCCTTACATTAACTTAATGTCGGATCAACGTCGAGCTTTCAATTAATAATGCTGGAGAGTTAAATGAATAATAATTTATCATATTCAACTATACAGATTTTGTGAGTAAAATCTAAATCTGCAACATCACTCCGTCAGATAAATGTATTAGTACAATGTTCTCCTCAGAAGCAAAGTACACAGTAAGTAGTATACAGCCAAGTTAAAAACTATTTAAAAATATCTTGGGGTATAATGAGTTAGATTAGTAACAGTTTTCATATCTTATATTAATACAAATGATAGCTGTTTGAGACCATTTCAGTTATTGTCCAGTTTCAAAAAAAGGATTTCCTTAAATCGCTAAACACATCATGACAACTGATCTACAAATGGACAATTTAAAATATAGATGTGCATGGATTAGAAATAACTGGAAATATAGTCACCTGCATGTTCTGTCCCTGTAAATGCAGTCTCTCCTTGCAGACGCCCTCGTAGAAATCATAGTACTCTAGGAAGGACTTCTCCATCACACTCCTGAACACACACACACACACACACACACACACACACAGAGAGAGAGAGAGAATGATGAGGAGTGAGGGAGTGAGAGATGGAAGAAGAAGAGAAACAAAGCTTGGTTGAGCAGCTTCGTTGGGTCTCACCACAGAGCTTCAGGACACGGGACTTTGCCCTCCAGCATGTCACACACAGCCACCCTCATGGTTTCATGGCGGATGCACTCATTGTAGTTCTTACTGTCCCCTGGGTGGCGCTCCTGAAAGACACAAATCAAATTTGATTCTCAAATCAGATCTTTAAGACAGACTGTCCGAACTGGAAGTGATCATATGGGATTTGTGTGTACAGAAACTAAGTAAGAAGCTAAATAAGTCATGTTTACATCTTTCTCCTCCAGAAATGTAACAATCCACATCACGTGTTCTCCTCTCGTTCCCACTGCTGAGACAGTCCTGTTCAAATTGAGAAAATTCCACAAATGTTTTGTGTGGTGCGCTGTGCTAGGTTTAGCTATCGGAGGCTCGTGCTAACGCTAAACTAGCATCTTGAACAGAAGCAGCTGCTCGTTTAACGCAGGCTGAGAACAGCAGGACTTATCAACACAACGTGATGAAGGGTATCTGCGGCACTCCCCCTGGTCTCAGCATATTGTAATTTTAGCGGTGGGCAGTAGGTGGACAGATAACGTCAGAGTGTCCCTGTGAGCGTCTGTTTCCAGCAGCTGGGCTAACGGTAGCTAGAGTGAACAACACATCCCTCCACCATGTAGATCAGATCCGCATATTACTTCACATCAAGGCCGTCAGACTGAAGTCCAATGTGGGGAGATTGGGGAAAACTTTTTACACTTATTCAATAACGTTACATTTTGAAGGTTACAGCAACTTTAATTAATTGTTGACTCAATGTGACTCAGACAGGTTTGTTTTCCCTAACAGGACGTGTCATGATGCCTCCTCTCCTCTTCCCTCTTGTGTGTGAGAGTGTAGCTGTACATCAAAAGGTCACATCTGTAAGCTGTCTCCCCATATCGGCAGCGTTTTTGAGGCTGCCGTCTCCGCGCAGTACGCCTCCCCCAGCAGCGCCCGACACACACGATCTGGTACTTCTATCTTTGTGAGGACACAGATGTAATTCATGCCCTGGTCCATTACCCACAATTATACATGTTGCATCAGAGACACCTAGTGGTGTAGAATGTGATTGCATTGTTGTTCTTGTATTCATCCCTCCTCTGTTGACGTACTGAGGACATGCTGCAGTTACTTTACTACTTTATATCTCTGCGATATATTCTCTGTGTTTTTGCAGTTTTAGTCTAACATTTGTCTTATAGTCATAGATGCTAATCGCGATTAGCATTTTTTCATTAATGTTAAAATTAGCTTACTAGCAGGCAAACCTCAGGATAATGACTGCTTATTTCCTCTTACATGATGGTTTATGCTAAATGTAAGATTACATATTCATGTATATGGGCAGTTTGTAAGGCCATATTCATAGGTTTCCACAATTTTACAAAGAAAAGAAAGATCCTCACTAAAAGCCCTCCACTAAACTACGGCTTCCTGGTTCATCTGCTAAGCTTACCTGTACAAAGCAAGAGCAGAGTATTAACGATCCCAACTAAAGGCCTGCACCCAACACCACCCCTAACCATCTCAACTAAAGGCCTGCACCCAACACCTAACCATCCCAACTAAAGGCTTGCACCCAACACCTAACCATCCCAACTAAAGGCCTGCACCCAACCCCTAACCATCCCAAGTAAAGGCCTGCACCCAACACAACCCCTAACCATCCCAACTCAAAGCTTTTTTGGAAGCCTTTTCGACGTCAGTCACTTGCACGTCTCACAGAACAGATACGCTTCCATGATATTAACTGTATCAATCCGCACTGACGCGCGACTGACTGACACCAACTGCGTAAGTATATTGCTGTTGCGTTTGGTGAAGCATAGACAGCTGTTTAAGTCACACTGTATGCTTGTTGTGAACCTATTAACCGTATCTATGTTGATTGTGAGCTCGCCTGTTTACTGCAGGCAGAATCCACTCACTCGCTACGTGGGAAATAAAATCAATGAGTCACTGAAAAGTACTTTGGTTCAGTAACTGTCTAAGAAAAACAGGTACACAGACAGACAGAGTACCTGTTCAAAGCCAGGTTCATTGTGATAGGGGTTCTCCGTCATCAGAGACTGGATGGAGATGAGGACAGATGAAATACTCTGGGCTGGGCTCCATGCTGGGCCTGTCCATGTCCTACACACACACACACACGCACACGCACGCGCAGGTTATAGCACCATACGGTAGTTTATAACTCTAAGACAGAAACACTAACTGTCTCCCACCATCCTAAACGGGTCCCTCTGCAGACAAATACAACCAAATGAGAGACGAGCATGCGACTCACCCCAGGATGCTGAGGCAGACCTTGCCGTTGCGGTAGAAGTTGGGGTTGAAGCGGACGGTGTTGTGTCCGGTGGTGATGAGCTTGACCCGCGGTGGGTGGATGGGGTAGTCGGGGGGGCAGCGGAACAGGAAGAGGAAGAAGCCGCCCTCGTACGGCGTGTCGAACGGCCCCGTGATCAGGGCGTGGATCTGCACAGGAAACGAGGGGGACAGAAAGGAGGTGGCTTAGAGCAATGGGTCTCCACCTTGTTTGGGGCCAGCGCCCCCTATCCACTGACCAGATCCATTACTGCCCCCATCAATTCAAATGGGAGGCTCCCCTTGGCTACCCTGAATATTAATGATTAGTATTTCTATACAAGTTAGAATTATATCATTACAAAAACATGTCATTAATTGCCAAATATTAGATTGGATTCATCTGGACAGTTGGAATATTGTCATTAGTTTCCCAGGGAGCAAAAAAGCCATGTGAATAAAATTATATATTTCTGAGTGTCAGTCAATCTGGTAAATTATTATGAGCCAAATTGTGGAGGAAATGTAATGTATATTAATTAAAACACCAAATTCAGGCAGCATTTATCCATCTATCTATATATACATACAACAGATTATAATGCAGCAAGGCTCAGGCATTCTGTGGTGCTTTCAAATATGACCTCTTTATACAGTATGTGAATTTATTTAGCACCCTATGATAAATGAATGCGTTCCTTCATAAACCCATACACAGATCAGCATTCTCTGAGAAGTTAAATATAAAGCTGTAATATTACCAGAATTAAGCCATGAGGGGAAGAAACTACCTGCCCTATAGTAGTGAATAATGACTTCACCTCCTCCAATAGAGATTCAGAAAGAAAGAAAACCAAAATGTTTTTAGCAGGGATAGGTATATTGCATGAAAAAAAAGCACCATGTCATGGTTGTAGCAGTAAGTCTACTGATAAAATTGTGAAAAAGTAAAAATAACAGATCTTCCAGCGGTCCCATAGAGCATGCGCGCTGGTGTTTCCTTTAGCCCCGCCTCCCAGCCCGCTGTCCAGCCTCGGTTCAGGGCTCATTCACGGCAACGGAGGAAGGAAAAGGGCTCTGGATTCAGCTATTGGTGCATTTTACAACTGATGTTTAAATAAGGGCTATTCATGTGTTTGAGCAGGGAAGTGATCCTCTGAGTTACACATGTCTCTTTATCAATCCAAGTCTATGGGAAAACAGATTTTGTGGTCCGTCGGCATCAGGTGACTGACCCGAAAATTGTAATTCCACCTTTTGGCCACTAAGTAAAACCTGCTTCAAAGCCCGGCGATCATGAGGAGGTGCACAAAAGGGAGCGATGGATGCTTGGGGATGAAGAAAATCTGACCTAGAACTCAACTGATAACATCCACATCAGAGCCCCCCCCCCCCTGCCTGTGAGGAAGAAATGTACCAATGAAAACATCAGGGTTCAGCAGTTCCGTGACTTAAAAACGTCTCTCCTTCCCCCTTTTGTCAATGGCGGTTCCCGGTCCGGGTTAGACTCGTGTTGGACCAGAAGCCCCGTGTCAGGGTGTGAAACTAATACGCATACCGGCACACAATATTACAGCGTGTGCACAATGGAACGAGTGGATTCTACTGTATTCTGTGTGTCGCTGCCATGTAGACAGGTGGCAGATATCAGGCTGGTGTCTGCTCCATCTGTGCTGAAAGTGATTATCAAAGCCAGCTTCTCTTAGTTGAAGCAGCCAGCGACTGTCCCCGGCTGTAATAATTAAAGTAATAATTAGTGCTCTGACAGTGCTGTGAACGCTACGATTAATAAATGCATTCTTTGATTTTTTAACAGTAGCATTGGTGGTCCCGCAAATTTGGATAGTGCAACTTAGTCCACGCAGAGATTTAATCATGCACACTATGGAGATTGATTTGATTTCAAATTGTATTAACAGTATTATTAATAGGCTCGTATTTAAACCAAAACAGGCCATAAATCATGAATTATTGGGGAAAACCAAGCAATTCCATGTAACATCAGACATTCAGCAAACCCCATATAGCCCGAATGCAATGATCCCTTGTTTCATAGCCACACTATTCCGCCTCTGGGACTGTGGTATTCGTAGTCGGATCAGGCTCCTGAGAATCAAATAGAACGATCCATTAATCAAAGTAGCGTCTCGGCCCAGATAGGACAACTATTGGATACCAAAAACAGTTACGGTCGGATTGCAGTCTCAGCGCATTCTTGCCGGAATTCTGTACAAATGACATCTATTGCACGTCTGTCCATCCTGGGAGAGGGTTCCCTCCTCTGCTGCTCTCTCTTATTGTGATTGACAAGTCACTGCCGCTACCATATACGGCGTCTCTACGTCACTCCTTTGCTTTCCAAATATGTTAACTCCCGTTCATTGCTTGCGAAAAACACAACATGGAGACGGCAGTCCACAAACCAGCGGGGGACGTCACGCTGACTACGTCCACTTCTATACACAGTCTATGGCGGTTACCAAACAGCTTCCGGGAAAATTAGCGCCTTCTGGACTGGAGTAGAGCAGCAAAACCAAGTCGCTCAGCTATCAGATTTGGTCCAAGGGGGGGACATCTGTGCGTGGCTCAGTGTATTAAACCTCCTCTAGATTTTTATCTCCACACAAGACGATTTGAAATGACGTGTAAATGAGGTCATAGCCTTTTTTACCTTGGTCATGTCTTGAGGATCGGGGACTACAAACATCCCTGGTGGAGGTTCCTTGTAGATGGACATGATATCCCTGCAGAGACAGACGGACAGAGGGAGACAGATGAGGTTTTAGGAAGGACACTAGAGATGGAGATAATCTTACTTACAGCGGAGATCTGCAACAGAGATCATTTAATTCAATATGCTATATAGGCATGAATAAGGACAGTGTCAAGTAATGACTAGATTATATAAAAAAAATTTTTTTAAAAGTACGGTGCAACTAAAAAATAAAATAGACAACAAATAATCCATCCCGTGTGTCCCTGGCCTACCCACAACCTTCCTGTAAACATTGTTCTGGGGATACTTTCTTTGGTGGAAAGTAGTTCCAGAGATCTGAGTATTATCTTCTGTACCAGGTAAACCCCAAACTATCTACTTGGCTAAACAACACACAGGGGAAGTGGAATATTGCAACAGTGAAAAATAATAAATAAATGAAATGTGTTTTCCATGGTTAAACACACTAAAGTGATGACCCTGACATCTCTCGCAATCATATGTTCTGCATATTGTAGTCTAAATTACAGTAACTACTTACGTTTCCGGTCATTTGTTAAGAACCCATATCTTCCCAGTGATGGTAGAACACTTTATGCAAAACTTCCACTTTCGATTTGTACTCACCTCATTGGGATTTTAGGTCTGAACATAACCTGAAGCTATACAACTGTGACAGTGACTGTTTTCATTAGGCCCACCTCTTTATCCTCAGGATGCACTGCTGGGAAGCCTTCTCGTTGTCCCAGTCCGTGCTGAGGGTCGGGTCCCAGGAAGTGGCGTGGATGTGGGACAGAAGGTCCGCTCCTGCCACCCCGCCGAGCCCGAGCCCAACACCGGGAAGAACCGAGGAGGCGTGTACAGATGGAGACACGGCCACGACCGGCAGTAAGGAGCCGGGGGTGAATGAGTTGCCAAAACCGGCTGTGGTAGCGGGGACACCGGACATGGGGGGCACCAGAGCGGTGAGGCCAATTTGCGCGGCCGCAGCGGGAGGTGGGGAGGCCGGGTTGGAGCTGGTGTGAGCACTGCTGGTTGCCGGGTGTCCCACCGGTAAAGAGTTGGCCAAAGTCGGCAGCAGCGAAGCTCCGCTACCCTGTCCGGTAACGCCTAAGCCATGGGCACTGCCACTGGACTGCTCTCCGAAGCTGTCTGCCATGACTCGCAAGCTAACGAGCGCTGAGTAAAACCGTCGGTGTTTACTAATGTATAATGCTAGCTGCTAGCTGCTAGCTGCATCGGGCAGCTGAGTGCGAAGTTACCTCTGCTTGTTTTTGTTGACCAGCGGGATCAGAGAGCAGGCGAGCGGGATTGAGGTGAGCTCAGAGGCGAGGCCAGAAAACACGGCATTTCTTCCCACGACATAGTGGCTACTTATCGTTAGCTTAACGTTATGTGTTTTCCCCGAGGCCTCCAAAAAAGTATGAAGTCGTCGGCAAAATGACCTCGTCCCCCTTCCCAAGGCGTATGAAGCCGACTCACTGTCCGTTGTTATCGGCTTAAATCAATATGGTGTCCGAATATTTGGGTTTGGAATCGACCACATCCCCTCCACTCCATTACCTCAACGCAACATCACGATCTGATTTCTCACCAGTTAAGCTGCGCTGAAATGATAAAAAAAACGGGACATCCGCTGGGAACTTCAAAATAAAAGTCCTCTACGCATTTAAAAGTGGCACAATGAAAATTAAGCATTTCATTATTAAATCAAAAATATTTATGGAGGAAAAAAAACATTGAATCAATTAAAATTATTTTTTATATAGTTTTCAAGGTTACAAGGTTTTTATTTGGTTGCACAACGATATTTAGACTGTAGTCCCAATTTGCTACATAGGTTAAAAAAAGTATATATATATTACATATGTAGGGTGGAGGATGAATTAATTGATTAGTTGATTAATCCCATTAATGAATTAATCACAGCCAGAGGAAATAAGCTGTTTTGAAGGTGGTGCGGTAGCTGATACTTCTGTACCTCTTTCCAGACGGAAGCAGGTGAACAGGTTGTGGCTGTGGTGGGTTTTTGTCCTTTAATATCCCCTTAGCTCTTCCCAGGCTCCTCTTCTCACCAATGCCACTGATGCTCAGTAGATGGGTACCAATGATGTTCTGAGCGGTTTTAATCACCCGCCGTGCACATCCCATACCAGTTTGTACTGTTTGCAGTCAGGATGCTTTCTATTGCTCCTCTGTAAATGTGGACAAGAACTTGGCACAGGAATTTTGCGTGGGTCTTCGCCTCCTTTTTTCTAAAATCAACAATAAGCTCCTTGGTTTTACTGACGTTGTGCAGCAGGTTGTTCACTGAGCTCCACTCTGTAAGGTTGTTGTTTCCCTCTCCCAATGAAGTCTCACCGATGACTGTAGTGTCATCTGCCAACTTCACAACAGAGTTCTCTTCATGTTTGGGGTAGCAGTCATGAGTGTGCAGTGTGAACAGGAGGGGGCTGAGCACACGGCCCTGGGGGGCTCCGGTGTTCAACACCAGAGTGGAGGAGGTTTGGCTGCCAATCTGAACTGCCTGGTGAGGAAGTCTATTAGCCAGCTGCAGAGTGAAGCTGCAGAGTGAAGGTCTCAAGCCCAGAGTGCTACATTTACCAATCAGTTAACATCAAGCATCCTAAACACCCTTTTTTGTATTTTTTTTATGGAGGCCTTGAATACCAAAATTGATCTTGTGCGTTGGGACATCCAGAGCAGTAACTTCACTGTAAAGACCTGCACAATATTAAGTCCTAAACTAAACTTATGAGAGACAGAATCTGGTATAACCACCAATACTGTAATATAATTAGATTTGTAGTGTAAATAGTCTACGCCTTAATTCAGTGCCAGTCAGGTTACATGACTCCACAAATGTTTTTTCATGGCATACAGAAGGAAAAGCTTAACTTTAATTTGTATTTAACAGGCTAAAACATTCAAAACATGGAAGAGGGGTCCTTCTAAAATAACAGGTAAAGACATGAAAGTACATTTTGATACCAGACGATTAGATTTACATTTAGATAAGACTTCTAGCTCATGTGAAACCCTTCAACCGTTTCATCGTTAAGTCGGGTAAACGTCATTAAGCGAACAATATAAGCCCAGGTACAACTTGAGTCAAATAAAAAACCTAAAAGATCATTTTTGCTTTGTGACTTTTCTCCAAATGAAGCAGATTTGTAACAAAGGGACACTGTGAGCCAATCTGTCAATATTCAGTTATCGAAGCGCATGATTGACAGGTGCCTGCTGATCTGAAGAAATTGCAAAAAAATGTGAATTTAATATCACAAGAAACCTTTGTTGTACATTACTGATGTTGGTATACTCCATTGCTAACATTCAAGTGCTTGCTGTATTGCCAGAGATATGTCAAGACTTTAAAATAGTTTATCGGACCACATGTCCAACAACAATTTTAACTTGTTTTGGAATCGTCCTAGCCTCTACGCAAGAGACGGTTTACACTTGAACAAAGCTGGCGCTGAAGTACTCACAGCCAATATTCAGTACACTGTTCACTCCTATCCACATGATTGACTGTTTACACCTGGCACACATGATCCTGGATCCCCTGTCCTGTCCCCTGTCACTCCTCCTCTACGTTCATTCATCAGCCGCATTCATCCCCTACAAGCAACACTAGCTCCCCCTGGCGGCATGGAGGGTCTCCTACTACTCTCCTCTACCGTAACTTCCACTCCACGACCCATGAACATTCCCGTGAGAATCACAGACTCGCGCTCACGCCCTAGTTATGGTCGGGTTTGAGGTGTTGCACGAGTGATCCGTCCTATTGCACATACCCCCAAAGCTTCCTGTGCTGATGACGACACAGTGTCTTCCCCCATCAAAATGTGTCTGATTAATGCACGCTCTGTAACAAACAAGGCTCACATTTTAAATGACTTGTTCACAAGTCATAATTTGGCTTTTTTATTTCTGACTGAGACCTGGCAACGGAATATGGAATGCATCCATTTCAATGAACTCTGCCCTGTGGACTGTTCTTATGTTGGGACACCGCGTTTGACAGGCCGCGGTGGAGGCCTCGCCGTGGTCTGGAAGAATCAGTTTTCCTGCCAATTGGGGAGCACAGAATTCTATGCTACTTTTGAACTACAGCTGACTAAAGTGGGCCGGCTAAAGCCATTTTACTGTTTTTTTAATTTACCGACCTCCAGGTCCTGCAGGTCAGTTTTTATCAGAGTTCACAGACTTTCTGACCTCTATTATCAAGCTAGACAAAGTGCTTCTGGTTGGTGATTTCAATTTGCATATCAATGATACCACAGACTACAGTGCCACTGAGTTTCTCAATATTACTGAATCTTTTAATTTCACGCAACATGTTTCTGGCGCCACTCACAGGGGTGGTCACACCTTGGACCTTGTGTTCTCCCTGGGTCTTGATATTGATAATACCCGTTGTGAGGACCTACTGATCAGTGACCATAAATGTATTTTCTTTGATCTTTCTGTCAATGCTGACCCCTTGTGTCTGAAACAAACATTCCACTCCCGCATTATTACTCAGCGTACAGCTGATCAGTTCTCTATGCACTTCTGCTGTGATATTAATACAAATCTCAATGATGTTGAACTCTTGATACAGTCTTTTAATGAACATTGCACCACTTTGCTGGATAAAGTGGCACCCCTTAAGGAAAGGACTAGGGCTGCCTACAACACTTCTCTGTGGATGACAGACGCTGTCTGCAGCTTGAGGCGGAAGTGTCGCAGGACAGAGCGGCTATGGAAAGCCACTGGGCTAGAAGTGCATCGCTCATATCTCAAAGACCTCAGAGTTTCCTTTAATGCTGGAGTAAAGGAAGCTAGAACTGCTTATTTTGCCAACTTAATCTCTTCCTCAAAGAGAAATCCCAAGATTTTGTTTGACACAATTAAGAGAATTGTTTCACCGTCTGTCTCTACATTACCATGCTGTTCTGTTGACGATTGCAACAAATTCCTTACCTATTTCAATGATAAGGTAACAGCTATTAGGTCTGGCATTCAGCCTGGGATTTGTTCATCTACATGTAGCTCCTCGCAATCTCCTACTGTTCTGGACTCTTTCCAGCCTGACCTAAGGCTGGAAAGAGTCTTTCCAGCCTTAGGTCTTCAAGACCTGATGGACTTAATTAACAAAACAAAGCCATCATCTTGCCCTCTGGATATAATACCATCCTCTCTATTTAAGAAAGTTCTGCTAATTATTGGCCCTGCAGTAACATCTACTGTCAATTCCTCATTGTCTACAGGAATTGTCCCTTCCTATTTTAAACATGCCACTATCCAGCCTATATTAAAGAAACCAAACTTAGATCCGGCATTGCCTATGAACTACAGGCCCATATCAAAACTGCCTTTCCTGTCCAAAATTGTAGAGAAAGTGGTGGCCAACCAACTTACTGCTGCACTGGAGAGGCACAACATGTACGACGAATTCCAGTCTGGGTTTCGCAGACAACACTCTACTGAAACCGCTCTCCTGAGGGTTTCAAATGACATGCTCATGTTTTCTGATGCAGGTGACTGCTCTGTGTTAGTTCTTCTGGACCTCAGTTCTGCATTTGACACTGTAGACCATAACATCCTGATTAAGAGGCTACGTGATTGGGTGGGCATGTCTGGCATAGCGCTAGACTGGTTCACATCTTACCTCAATGACAGAAGTTTTAATGTCTCTGTGGGTGATTTTGTGTCCGTTACCTCTCCACTGTCTTGTGGCGTACCGCAGGGCTCGTTTCTGGGGCCTCTGTTATTTTCCCTTTATCTGTTACCTTTGGGACCGATTATAAAAAGTTATGTGTCCTATCATTTATATGCAGATGATATCCAACTCCATCTGTCATTCAAACCCAGCGAGGCCTTCACATTAACTAGGCTCCTGGACTGTGTCGATGCCATCAGAGACTGGACGGCAGAAAACTGCTTACAACTCAACGACCCTAAGACGGAGGTCCTAGTTATTGCTCCAGATGAGTTTGTCCCCATGATCAGGCCGAGTATTGGTCCACTCTCCTCTGTTGCCCATTGCAACCTGCACAATCTAGGGATTTTCTTTGATCGATCCATGTCGTTTGACCCCCATGTAAGCAGCTGTCCAGATCATGTTTCTTCCATCTAAGAAATATCAGTAAACTGAGATCTGTAGTATCAACACCTGAATTAGAGATGATCATACACACATTTATCTCCTCTCGCATTGACTACTGTAACTTACTTTTCACATCACTCAGTGCATCTGCTCTTAACCATCTGCAGGTAATCCAAAACGCTGCTGCCAGATTACTTACCAGGACAAATCGACAGTCTCACATCACCCCCATAGTCCGATCTCTCCACTGGCTCCCTGTAGCATTTAGGATACACTTCATAATTCTCACCATCACTTACAGAGCACTTCACGGTCAGGCTCCTGCTTATGTAGCTTATCTACTTCACCCATATTCACCCGCCCGCACTCTCAGGTCAAACGCTCTAGGTCTTCTGTCAGTTCCACGCACACGATTTAAGACCCGTGGTGACCGAGCCTTTGAGGCTGTGGAATGCTCTGCCTGCGACTCTACGCATCGCAGATTCTGTGAATACTTTTAACAGCTCAAAA